CGTCAGAGGTTTTTCAAAGCGCAGGGTTGAACTGAAGTTATCCATTCAAGCTTTACAATAACGCCATCATATTCTTATTAAAGACAACATTGCTTCTGATGATGACAAGTATCGGTAATAACACTCCATTGTTTTACACCTACAGTCAGGAAAACTATAATACACCACCACTCAAAAACAATAGCTTATAGCTGCTCCAAATGGATGCAGAGAAACACAAATAGTAATGAAAACTAACCAATCAATTGATCCTATTATATAACTAACGAATCAATCATAATCAAATATTCACAACTAACAGTCACAAGCGAAGCAAAAATCCACACAGCACAGATGAGATGCATGGAGTTCTGATAAGGGAACACTTGAGTAACATCATGTATACATTACCTGAAAACACACTACAGGCCTCTTCACAAGAAGCAGGAGACTTTGAAAATCTAAACATCTATATCAAAAATAAAGCAGTGCTTTAGGAAATCACTTTGAGATCAAGTCCTCCAGCAGCATGTCATCATGCTTGACCTTTATGGGGCGACCACAGTCTTCTTCATTATGCCAAAAGATAACAGTGCCGTAACAGTTTGTAAACCCCCTGTGAGGTCAGTATGTTATGCTACAAAAGAGTTTGCAGGTAGAGACACAGTGTTTTCTATAAATGTTGAGTAATACAGTTTCATTTAAGGCATGTCAAAATAAGTACAGTACGCTTGAGTTGTCAGGGTCCAGTTGTGTCACAAATATTTAACCTCCTATGCTGCCCACGGCTTTTCACTTATTCTAAGCAACAAAACTTTAGTTAAGTTCCCATGAAATATATAAACACATTTCAATAAAGCATTATCTGGGTATTTTTACATCTAAAATAACCGTATTTTCTCTTTCTGTGAAATGTTTCAAATGTCTGATGACTCGTCCTGCACTTAGGGCCGTTGACTTATTACTTGACCAATTCAATCCAACTAAACTGATCCCAACGTTATGTCCCGCCTTCTATCTTGTGATTGGTTCACGACAAGGCAGTCAGATACTCTCCAAGTTCCATTTAATGGGGACTTAAAATACATTTTGAATAATCATGTAGGTGAATACAGCAATAAGGACGAGGACTATATTGCTCTAATCTGCAACACAGACAAAGAAAAACAGTTCAGCTGAATCCAGATAACTCAAACTGAGTTCAACTAAATCATGCACTGAGCAATTAGCTGTATTCACACGTGCACAAAGCTCCTGAAATTTAGCAAAATTATCTGGCTGAGCAGCAAGTGTAAACAGAAACCGCTGAATTTTTCACCCCGACTTAAAACTGAATTATTCCTGCCAGCCCCCGTGTTAAATTTCCTATGAGGTCGCGTGAGCCGATGTGACCAATGCAATCTTCAGGCACGTAGTGAAACTTCTTCATTATGTTTCTGCTCATGAATAAGTCCAATTACATGTAGCACTGTTAAAAAAAAAAAGGCAAACATGTCATCATTGCATTGCAGTCTGTTGCTTGTCTGCCATTTTGCCAAAATATTAAAATATTGCCTACTCCTTAGACCCTCCCTGTCTGACAGTGAAAACTTCCCTCTATGAGAGCCGAGTGAACAAGATACTCAAGAAGATTTCAGGGGCAGGCAGGCTGAAATTGTCTAAAATGTTTAGGACTGCATGTGTGAAAACAGCTATAGTCTAGTCTTTGCAAGTAAACAGTGATGTCGGTTCATCATTAGTCCTATGAAGTGTTCAACACAGTAAGTGGCATAGCAAATACTTAAGTGAAGATACATAACAGTAAAAAACAGCTCAATGTTAGCAGGTTCATTTCAAAACCCTTTTGTAGCACAACAAACTGTCCAAAACACAAGGCTTGACCAAACCTGTTCACTGCACTGTCTGTATGATGTAAAAATAGATCTTTAATTCAAATTGGCATCAATGATTTTTTATGTAAAAACAAAAAACAAAACGATGTTGCGGCTTGTCTAGTCCAGAAAAAACGTTACAGCACCACTAGAACATATTTATGGATAATAACGGACTCATCTTTGTTATTGTGGTCATGACTCTATGTGACTCATTGAGAAAAGTACAAGTAAAAAAAGCAAAAGAAGATAAAACAGCAAGATAAAAAAAAAAGGTTTAGACATTAAAATATCAACACTGTCAGTGCAACATCAGACCTGCTGAGATGGCAAAAAGTAGAGAGGTTAGGCTGTTACACAAACCAGAACACAAGTCACAACATCCACACCAGAACATCGCACAGTTCTCCAAAAGCTCTCAAAGAAATGAAAAGCAATGCAACTGAAACACTACAGTAATTTAAAGTTTCAACCAAGGCATTTAATGGTAAGGAATTGAAAGAAAAATAAGCCACTGACTCGCTAACAAACACGCCCTTAACTAGGGGAAAAACAATCTCACAAACTCAGGCTAAATGAACAGAATAAATTATAAATAGTGTAAACAAAAACGTCAGTAGCTGCTCTTACAGTGTTGTGCTGGTCGTCAATGGAATCTGTACTTTCTTGCAGGCTTGAGGTTGACATACGTCTTCTTCATGTCCTCTGTCTCGTTGGTGTTAACGAGCTGATATCGCTCCCCTTTTGTGGTGACCACCTGGTTACTATGGTAACGAACCAGCTTCTTTGGAGCCTGTAACAAGCATACAAATTTATTGAATGAAGCTGTCTTGAAGCTACACTGGGAATTTGGAGTATAATCGAAGGCTTACATCTTTGGGGGCGACAGGCCGGTGTGTTTTTTTGTCATCCTCCCTGTCCACTAACATGTACCTATGGACATTATACATGGTAGAAATAAAAACATTTTCATTCTATGTACAGAAACAAACTCCCAGAGAGATTCTCCCTCCAGCTTCCCTAAGAATATTAAAATCCCTTTGGGGGGAATCAAACTAGTCTTTAACAACAATAAAACTAGTAAGGCAAGTCCTGCTCTCCCAGCATGATAGACATATTACTCACTTTTCAAGGATGCTCTCTTTAAGTTTGTGGTCTGCCTGGGGGGGAATACTCTTCCCTTGGTTGACCTGCAACAACAGGATGCCTTTAAATTGACTGCTGACAGACACGATTAAGGCAGCACTTAAAATGAAACATTAATTTAAATGAAGCGTGTCCGTGTGTAGCTGGGACTCACATTAAGAGGAGATGGGCTGAGTTGGACGTCGCCCTCTATGATAAGGCGCACAGCTTCCTCCATGTCTCCTTTGGCAATAGACAGAGCACTGCGAGCCTCAGACAGACTGCATTTTGGAAACATCTCCAAGAGGTGCTGCTCCTGAGCCTCCCACTCAGACACTGGTAGCTGGAAAGGTACACAACATTATACATGACTTTAATTCTGAAAAACACAAATTACACAAAATGTACCTATGTAGACTTAGAGTATCCATGTTTAAAACGCATCAGGAATATTTTAACCTTGGCAGTGGCGCCCTCTGTCTGATTTTTAAGGCACTGCGTTTCTCTTCCAGGTGGAGGTTCAGTCGACATGGTGGTCAGTTTCAGTGAAATTTCTTCTGTCTTTGCTTTAGATACACCATTTTGTTCATCAGCTAGAGTGGACACATATCAGCACACAGTGGTAGAAAATATTTAAGATGATCCACATCTTAAATGAGTGACACTTTGTTGTCATGACTCCTTAAACATATTTTGAAATCACTTCCAAAAAGGTAAACACTCTCATCAATTACACGAGCACTACCTGTAATCCGTGCAGTGGCGAGTTTTGAAGCCAGGCTGAACATCATCTCACAGACCTTGACACTGCAAAATGAAAATAACGTGTATAAAAAAAAAACAAACGACAAAGTAATTCATGTAGTGACCTGGTCCTTTTTAACATCAATATGACACGATTTGGAAGAGATAATGGTTTGACAGTCTGTTTACCTCTCAATTTCGGCAAAGCCAGGTATATAAGCTTCTAGCATCTCTCCAAAGACCTCCACATCAAAGTTTTCCTCAACACCCTGCTGAGAGCCAAGATCCTCCAAGACTCCAGTGATGTAAGACAGAAGAACATCATCCAGCGTGCTGCATTGAATGTAAAAAAAACAAAAACGGAGTTACTATTGATACATTGAAGTGTTTTAAATATCTAGGACAGAGATAATATACTGATACTTTAAGTTGTATAACGCACACATCTGGAAAGTATTTTTATCTGAGGTGATATAGGAATCCCCTTCAGTTGAATGTTTGCCCTAAGGGGTTGTTCCTCGAGTTACCCGGAAATCCTTAAATCTAAGACAGGATCCCCCACAGTGGAATGTATACAATGGGGTCTCTGTGTCCAGAGAGTTGCCCAAAAACAGGAAACAGATGTCCTCATGTGTCCTGTGGCATTATGTATAAATAGCACTCTCATTTGTATGTTCGAGAGAGATCATTATTGGCTTCATGACTCTCCTGGGCAGACGTGTTCAGTGATTCTGCATCTTATAATAATAATAAATAATTTTGAAAGCAAGTCAGTCTCAACGGCGAATTTTCTTCATCATCAAACATATCAACAACAAGGGAAACCACATCAACATAAACAAAGTTTCCGACTTGAACTAGACTTTTTTTTGTAAGAAGGCTTAAACAATGGGATGGTTATTTTACCTGAGATCTGCATCGGGAATAAAAGTCTGGATAAATTCGTGCAGCGCATTGTGGATGATCTTGTGGAGGTCCATTGCGTTCTCCCACTGTGCAGTACAGGAAACACTGAGTTATAAGAGTGCAGGAACACTGAGTTATAAGAGTGAAGGAAGGGAACACTGAGTTATGAGTGCAGGATGGTCGAGGCACTTGCACCATGCAGCAGCAGCAGAACTATCTTTACACCTTAATAACCAAACACAGCAGTTGCCATCTACACACCAAATATGGCACAGCATGTTACAAAAGCATTGGTTATGAAAGCATCGGTTGTGAAAGCTGGCTGGCGCTGCAGCATCTTGTGACGTCATGCTGGGACAACAGAGCCGACCTTCACCTGTTTAAGTGTGTTTTCTGCAAAGTTGCCCCTGACACGTCGGCCAAGCCCAGGCTGCTACGATTCCTTACACTAAATCGTCGAGGGGGATGCCACCCGACGTCTTCACTTTTACAAAGTAAGTTAAACACGTAAAGTGACGTCACAAACAGCCCACTCCTCGTATTACAACCGGACATCACCAAAATGCTACTTATTAGCTCGCTAATGGTTAATTACTGACGGGAAGGCTCCGTTTTCATTAGCTAAACCGTTTCTAAATCATGCATTCAGTCCCTTCAAATTGACACTGACTGTCCATCAACAGTAAATAAACATCTATCTTCATATTTCTGTGCAGACATGACAGTAGGGTTGTTAGCAAAGAAGCGCTAGCCATGTGGGGGGGCGGGGGGGCTTGTTAGCCAACAACAACAACTGCCAGCTGACGTCTAACAGATTAACCACTTCCGTAAATCAAAACGACTTTTACACAGAATAAAACTCACCGTCAGAAATCACAGGAACATGAAGTTTAAAGTGTTCCCCAAATGTTGTTGGGGGGCGGGGGGGGATGCTGCTCAGGCTTTCTCTCTATCCGTGCTGTTAGCCCGCACGATTCAAAACATCATGACGTCACTTCCTGTGATCGTAAACAGCCTGGTTATTAAAGTTATTATATAAAAACGGTTTCTTCATGAAAGGTTTGTTTTTAAACGTGTGATTTGAAATGCTGTGTAGAATTATTATTTTTTTCAAACGAAAAGGGGATTTATTATTTTATTCAATTCAATTCAATTCATTATTAAATTAAATTAAATTAAATTAAATTCAAAAAACTTTATTTGTCCACCGGGGGGCAATTCAAAGGCACACAGAGCAGTAAATTAACAACATTGCAAGTAAACAAAACATTTTAACCTAAATATAAAGCGTCAATTTAAATACAACTTAAAGCTTAAACTTAACTTAAAAATACAAAATATAAAAAGAGTAGATATAAGTGGACAGTGATCGGACTAACAGATGTAAACAGATGTAAACAGAACTATGTGCAGTAGTGACCAGATGTAAACAGAACTATGTGCAGTAAACGAGAAATAAATATATATATACAGAGCTATGCGCAAGTAGGCTAAATACTAAATGATAAGTTATAAGGTGCATGGTGAATAATGGAACAACAGAACTAATATATACAATATAACTGTAAAGGTAAAAATTAGATAAATAAAGTGACCGTAGTGCAATGATGGATAAGAAACATCAGGAATAAGTAACCAGAACTGTATGACTACTGATATAAAATGGATAGAATAAAGTGATGTAGTGATGTAGTTCATTGGAATTAATGTGACAATGTTTGTGTGAGCTTGTGTGTTTTAATTGGTGTGTGTGTGTGTGTGTGTGTGTGTGTGTCTGTTTGTGCCTTTGTGTTTTTGCATTTGGGGACTTTATTTTCAGGGACTTGTGTGTCTGATTGTTGTCTTTGTGAGTTCTTTTGTATGTTGCTTTATGTGTGTTTTCAGGTTCCACTGGTTGTGCTCAGGTTCTGACAGGTTCCAATAAACTGTGCAGCTATAATCTCACAATTGGGGTTTTCTCCCAGTAGATATAGAAGTTTGTGTGTGTATTTCTGTGTTTGTGTTGTGTGTTCAAATTAATCTGATAATAGACTGAAACTCCCTGAATTTATTCCACTTGGAGCTTTCCGTTCTACCCTGAGGGACAGACAGCGTGAGACCATTGAACTGTGTTTTTAAAATCTTAAATTGTTGTTTATTGTTGTGTCACAGCTCCCGCACTTTCTTTTTTATTGAAAACACTGTGTTGTTAATCTATACTGTCACTTCATTGTAACTGTTCTTATGACATGTGCTGCTGACCTCTTGGCCAGGTCACCCTTGTGAAAGAGATCCTGATCTCAGTGGGTTCTTTATCTGGTTAAATAAAGGTTAAATAAAAAAATATAGAAAAATAAATAATAGAATTCTTATTAGGGTCCAAAGAAAACCACAAAACACAACAGTTGAGTACTGCATTTGACACTGAAGCATCAGTGCTAAAACAATAAGCCATGTAACCGATGAATCAACTTATCTATTGAAGGAAAAAATGTTATTATTCGAGCAATACATTCATTTCATTGTGTTGCAACAGACAAATACATAGCCTAATTCTGAGAGACTTTGATGTTGTCTCTCCTCAGTAACTCATTTGATTGTTGTCTAACATTTGAGTCATTGTAAAAACAAAAATTCTTTCTCGCTTCATCTCCTCCAATATGAGGATTTTCTGTCATTGAAAACTGGATATCTGTTGATTTTGATACCTTAAAAATAAGGCATTTAAACCAAAGACATCAAGTTTTTCTCAGCCATAACATCATACTTTTCATATTTTAATCAAACAGAAATGATGATTGAGATGATTCATTATATTACAAATAAACAATAATTTAAGCTTAATTCTGTAGCCTATATAAACTACCTACTATTGTTTAAATTGCTGCTACTTGTAAGCAGTTGTCATCATAAAAACTAGATGTCCCAACATTTTCATTTTGCTATTTCACACATCCATCCAGGCATACATAAATGAGGATGTAAATCTAACACATAATGTTAAAGTCGGTCAGTGATAATATATGTTATGTTTTAAGGCAACAAAGCCACATATCCTTAAACATTTGTCATTAAGAATTTACTTTTATTCTCTTCTCATGATCCTCTGCAAAGGTTACACACAGCAAACACGTTTGTTTCGTCTTTCCCTTCAACAGACTTTGAAGCTTTCTCCGGCTCATCACAGACTCCTGACTCAGTTTCTGAACACCGGTCTAGCCTACACAAGGTCAGTAAACAGTCTACTCTCACTTGGACATTATCTTATATCTTTTGCCAGATCCATACATACTTGATGATGAGGGTGTTATCTGAGGCAACATCAATGATGTCATCAGATCCTGCTCTCAGTTACCTCCGCCTGTGTTGGTATTATAGCAGATATGTACCTGTGAATCATTAATGCCCATTCAATTGTTTCCCCGCTCCTTTGGCAGTATCCCTTGCCGGCTGTAGTATTTCATGGGGAAATATGGTACACTCCACTGATAAAACTAGCAAGAACAATTCTCAACTTGGCTGAACTCTGTTTCAACCCTGAGCTCATGGCTAGACTGGTGGGGCTGAGGTATCGAGGCAGAGCGTGTACAATGTACAGCACAGGAGAGCATCTCGGTTTTCTCAGTGCGTTAACAACTGACACTGAGGACATCCTGCAAACTGTACATCACTAACTAATACACCCGGCCGCATGCGTTTATTACCATAAATATACAGTCGTTATATGATTACACTTGAGTTGTACTGACTCAAGTTTTAGGCATCCTTTGCCTACACATTTACGTGTAAATCGAATTCTTTACTGCAGGGTAAGATTTAGTACCATACAAAAGTCAATGATCTCAATGCCAAATAAGACCCTGAATGTAAAGTAATTATGTTTGTCATCAAAAAATCATAAAAGTAACTTACTCCTGAAGTTCTGACTTGTTTCCTTATTTTGAAGTGTCCCACCACTAGATGGCAGCATTGAGTTATAAGTGCCATCAGTACCTCATCCACTTCCTTTGAGGTTGGTTTCTTCTGGATACCTTTTTGAAAAAAAAAATGTTTTAATAGCATCCAAATCACATTTATTTTCTCTTTTAAATATGCATCATTTATTAACCCTAACCCTAAAACATAAAGGTCATGAGTTCACAAGTACACAAGCATCATACACTGATTGTTAAATATGATCTCGGGCAGAGTAGTTTAGGTTCTATAGACTGTATTTGAAGACAGATATTTTTGATTTTCACACTTTGTTCGATCAGGGACTGAAAATGTAGTAATTTATCTTGGTCGTATTTTCTGATTTGCCCTCACGAGTAAGGATGTCACAGCTTTACATGCAGTGGTGAAGTAGTTGGAATCAAAGTCTTTGCCTGTTTATTACAGAGAGAAGGAGACTGACATGAACACACTGACAGCACGGAAACATTCTTAAAAAGAGATGCACTTATCCAGATTGTAGGTTTAAATGTGAGAATTAAAACACACTGCAAGAAGAAAAGTGCAACAAGGATTATATCTCCACACTTTGGAGATAAAAAAAACATTTAATGATGAAAGATTTTGGCTGTTTGTCGACTGCATCATTTCTGAAACAGTATCAGAAGAATCGAACATCCTATGAAACAACTGAAGGTCAGATGTTTAATTATTGTATTATTCCATAATGTAAAATAAAACACACAAATAAAGGAAATCAAAGTATAAATGTCATATTCCTTCAATTAGAACAAGGCACAAACTGAACCTTCATCCTAAAACAAAGTAATATTCTACATTTACTGGTTTAAAGGGAACAGACGTGCAGAAAGGTGAAGTAGGGATGGGATTTGACAAAGACGCGTCTGTGATTGTTTTTACTCATGTCTGCATCAGTAAAACAGTTAAATATATTTGAATATGTTATGAAATGTATTTAACCAAAGTTTGAAGTAGCAGCCTCACTTTGTCAAATGCATAAAAAATGGACGAGTTTCAGGACAAATTAATGAATTTCCTTTACGGGACAGCATGAGAACAAACTGTTCAAATGTCTAAGGCGTATTTTTTTACTCAGTCACAAAGAAAACAAAGAATAAAATTGTATTAATTAATTCATTTCACATTAGTGTAAGTGGGAGCCAAACCTTAATATGTGCTAATGGTATGTTTACTCATTCCTGCTCCTATACGCCGGCGTACAATCAAGCATGTCATGCAACAATGTGGAGGCTGGGCACATAATGTGGATATTGTACTGGTGGCACAGATTTCCATTTTCACACAGACAATGGGGAGAGGGGGTCGGCTCGGGGGACGTCTGAGCAAAAAAAAAAAAAAAAAAAAAAAAAAATCTCTTATTATCTTCAGAGTCACAAAAACACTAAATGATTTATTGCCAAATTAATTACCCTTTACCCAACTTCAGACAAAAAATGCTCCGAGCTGTCTGTCGTAACAGTATTATTCTATTAACGTTCGATTTGCAGTTCAGCCAGAGTGACTTCATATTTAGATTTTATTGTATTTTCTAAGCGAGTGTGTGGCACTGCATTCACAATAGAAAGGCAGAGAACGATCAGACAGTTGAATCACCTGTGCTGCAGAGATGGGATCACTAATTATTTGGAGTGGCGGTTTGTTAAAAATCTTAAACACTTAAACAAATCTGTCTCTCCAAAGTGTCACAAAAGATGCATTTACAGAGTGAATTCAAGCACAGAACGGTTTAATTAATAGCAACTTTTTTTTTACAATGTAAGTCCTCCTTCACACTCATGAGCCATCTTTAATCAAATCTAAGACTTGCTAATAATTTCAGCACTTTCTGCGTGGTTCTGAACATCTTTTTATTCAATGTTTATTGTGTAGATTCTTGCAAAAGTACAAGATTAAAAACACTTGCGAATCAAAGTTGGTATATACTTTTAATTCAGTTTCACTCTTGCTATTTTTTTCCCCACTTTATCTAAAGGTGAAGGTTAATGACTTCAAAGGGCTTGAAGCGTTAGCATGAGATTAGCTGGCCCGTGGTCTGAAGGCGCGGCTGACCTAACCTAGATCCGGGCCTCCTGTGTGGGCTAGCAGGCCCTACCGTCTGCCTCCTGTACCGATCCAGGAAGTAGTCAGGGCCCATTGCCCCCTTTTCCCCCCTCCTTGCTAACTCCCTCAAACAACCACACAGTAACATAATTAGAAAAAAGGAAACATTTGGTTGTAAAGAGTGCAACTCTGCAGAAGCATAATCTGTGATAGCAAACAATGTGAGATGTGACATTGCATAGAAAAAAAGTGAATGGGTGTGATTTAAAAACAAAACAAAAAAACAAGTCGCTTATGTTCAGTGAACGCTTCTGTGTCCCTTGTCTTGGTCTGTGTGTCTCTGTTCAGCAGTCGATAGGTTAACCTGCCCCTGGCATCCATCTTGTGTGGCCCCCCTCGCATTACCATTGATCTGAGGGAAATAAAGAGCACACGTGTTATTATATACAGCGCAGAAAAACAGCCTCTCGCAGTGATGGAGTGAACAGGCCAAATGTATGAAATATTGCCCCTCCGACATATTCCGTCTTCCTGTCAATAGTGCAGCCTTTGCCCACAAACCGGATCAATAGGGACTTATCTTTTCATGATAACACATAACGATGTTGTCTGTTGTCTTTTTCTTCTAATTCCACCCCTCCGCCCCTTAAAAAAAAAAAAAAAAAAATGCATCCATGCTGATATGTATATTTGGGCATGCCTTTCTTGTTCTGTGTTTTTTTTCCGCTCTAAAGAAAGAAAGTCAAATTGGCGCGGGCCCTTCTCGTCAGCTACATGGCAGTTACAAATTTACATGTTGGTTTTCTGGACGTTTCTCTGAAGCTTTTGGGGGTCTCTCATGTGTGAGACTGCTCAGCGGAGAGAAGACACCCCTCTGTAAAAACATCTGTTGTGGAAATGGCTGTCAGACTCCCTTTTGTGGACTCCGTCTCTTCTTTGCACAGAGATTGTCATTTGTTTTGATCATTTATGTGGGTGAAAGAATAATGATAAAAAAAAAAAAAAAAAATCTGGAGCATGTGCTCATGCAGTGGAGCAGTCTACACTTAGGCTTTTTTTTTTTTTGTCATTCAAAGGAACACTTCTCTCTGATTTCGTGACATTTTGGTCTGCACATCGAGGCATGTCATGTAGCTATGTTATTTACTGCAGAAGTCAACTAAACTCTACTGTGAGAAACTGTTTTTTTTTTTTCAATTAATATGAACCCTTCGTGGGTCGTACATTCCAGTAACTAAGTGTTTCGGACAAGCTGCTTAAAGATGATAGCAACACTCTTTAATTATTCATGATGCTGTGATCGTTATCATGTGTGGAAGAAGTCACCGGAAAATAGAAAATAGTCATTGTCTCTTTTGATTGAGAGTCATTTCACTGTAGGAAATGAGACTTCTCTGTGTCAAAAGTGAAATACAAACTTCTTTTTTTGTCACGTTTATGAGTGAATAAAGCATTTTTTGATTGAAGCTAAATGCTGTAAAACATTCATAGTTCAAGTGAGACTTCTTGAAATGTTTCATCAACAGACGCTTTATGTCCTGACTTGTTTTTTTTTTTTTTTTTTTCAGAATGGCCCGGCCCCGGTTGCGACGATGCAACTGTTCTGAACCAGCACCAGAACTGTTTGTGATCGAGTTCATGTCTTGCGGCTTCAGGAGGAACCTCACCTCGATGTTCTCACAGGTCAGCTACCATTTATGTGCTCAGCTGTTTCACTACTCGACAATACTTTCAACTCCCAAATACAATTGAAAAAATGAATTCCCAAAATATTACATTTCTTTGGATGAACTTGTAAGGATTGTATTCAGAAAAGTTAAGCCAAGTTATGAACATTAAAAAACTTAATAAGCAGAGTTTCCTCATAATACAAGAAAATCTCTTGATTGTAGAATCCTTCGTGTTAAATAAGGGAATCATTTAGACAGCTGACAAAACAAGCATGAGTTGGAAACATAATGAAAAATCTGCACTCTTGTTTCCACGATTTTATTCATATATTTTCTCCGGGTGGTCACACTGTTTAGTCTGGAGCTGTTTTAACTTGTTCTGAAGCACAGCATCAATTTTACAATTTGAGGTCTTTATTACCATTCTGATGTTTTTTTTTTTACAATCTTCTTCTTCAAAAAAATCTGAAAAGCTTTTATGTGGAATAAGTTGATAATTTCTTCCAAAGAGATCTAATTCTAAATTTAAAGAAGTGTTTAGAAGGTGTCTAAAGGGTGTAAAACATGTCTGCATGTATATGACTCATACCAGCCAGATCCCTGTGTGAATTAATGGGCCGCCTGTATGTGAATGTGTGTTTTTTTTCCTGCAGAACAGGTGAGTGTTTGAGCAGAGTGACACCCCATAAACTAGCTGATAACCTGTTCCTGTGTCTTCTTATCTGTCTTCCTGACAATCCTGGGTCCCTGAGCGCGTTGTCGTTTCCCCCTCGGGCCCATTATCAGATCCCCTCTGTAGGCTCCCTCAACAGCTTCAGTTATTGTAGCAGTCTCATCTTTTATGGCACCATGATGTGTGTGCTTGTTTTTATGAGTGAGTACATGTTGTCTTTGGGATCGTAGTTTCCTTCTTTTTTTTGTGTGTGTGTTTTGACCGAGAGGCTTCCCCTCCAAATTGTTTCCCTTTTCCTCTCCAAATCAAACCGAATACAAAAGAAGATTCTGGTTTATTTTCAAACACTTTATCATTAATCATCTTTTTCCAATCATGTTTCACCACCTGATCGGCCCCTCACTCTATCTGTGAGAAACATGTTATCTCCCTCTGCCATTCATGTACACATTTATTGGATTCCGAGTCGGCGGGATCAATCTTTTGGCCACCAGAGGAGCATAACTAATGGCAACATTAGAATGGCTTTGTGAGAGGGACTGGCCGGATGCGGGTTAACCAAGCAGGAAATAATCTAGGATTTTATATCCTGCATGAATGGCCATAGGATATGCTGAGAATAAATTAATCCTCCCCAAAATTTTAGCAGTGAGGTTATCTTTTGAATGAAACAGTTGCAGTGAGGCGGCTGGTTCGTTTGGCCAATTTCTTTTTTCTTTAAGGGGGGGGTGGTTTCCCGCCTGCACACATGTGGAATTTCTTGGCAGATAATGACCGTCATCATAATGCTCAGCCAGGGTCAGAGTATCTATTCTGCCTCTGACCGCAGGTCTAGACGGCCTTCCTCTGCAAAGCCCTTTTTTCCCTTCCTTTTAAAGCCCCACTTCTATTTTCCTGTTGTGCCCAAACAAGGATTTTATAAAACGGGTGACATCGCCACACAAGCTGTCTGCAGAATCCCCCTTAATTAAAGTGACTTTTAAAGCCTTCCTCAGACACTAATAAACCCCCTCTCCATTAAGATCCTCCTAATTACTGTGTGCAAAGGAAAGGGGGACGCACAGAACAGACAGTGTGGAGGTAAGCCTGCTGGCATTTGGCCCCATAAGCTGAGCGCCACACAAAAGAAAATGTCCCCTGGGTTACCCATCCTACCAGAGAGAGTCCCTTTTTTTTTTTCCAGCCTTGCTCCCCCTCTTCTGTTTTCTTCTTTATGAATGAAAGTATATGACATGTGGGGCTGACAGTGTCCATTCATGGAGCTGCTGGAATGTGTGAATAACGGCTTTGAATGAAGCAGGAATCACAGCCACCTGATAAGTCATTAAGCAGTCTTTTGACGTTACCATTGTTTAAATGTGCATGGTGGAAGTGAGAGTGCTGTCATCTATAAACAGACGCTCACTCGAGTGAGGCTGATTAGGAGAGATAGATATTCAGGGTATACAGAGAGATGCAGGAATCCTCTCAGGAAGCATTTTTATAGCATGTTGTCTGCTGAAACTTTGCTATCAGTGAATGATTACGACCATGTTGGAAAGTTTGATTTCCATGACTGGTGGAATGATGTGGAAAACGAGAATCTCATATCACTGAGCCACAAGTACAGAGAGTGTGTACAGTCGTCGCAGCGTCGGTGGCAGAGGCCTGCCCAGAGAAGGTTAAACGTGTTTGGTTCATGTCCTGGTCTGCAGATTAATGACATTAACGAAGTTTCCATTAGTCGCGCAACCCAGGGAGACATGGGCGTCCATGCGGAAAGCCACATGACCGAGGCAGAGATAAGAGAAAATGAAATACGTCTTCGCGGAGACAGAAGGGGCCAGGAAGTGCCACTCCAAATTAGCCGCCGGCCCAGTTTGTTGTTACTTCATTAACCCAACAGCCCCAGGAAAAATAAAAAGCGGGGTCACAACCTTTAGCAACAGGGAGGCCTGAGGTTTGCAAAGAAGGGCTCCTGCAAACTTTAGCTGGATGCAACTGTTGACACAATACAGGCAAGTGTGTATGGAGGGAAGTTATCATTAAAGTGGGGGGTGGGGGACCTGTTGCTACCTCCAGAGGTTTGGAATAATACACTTTGTAACTTTACTTTTCTAGTTCCCTAACTTGAGTTTTTATTTTCTGACAACTTTTGCTGTTACTAGAAGCATTCAAACTCAACATCTGAATGTTTCTTCAAAGCAGGCTTCTTACTTTAGTTTTAATACCTTCATTGATCGATACTTTTCACTACAGCCAGCCTGATTCAGCACATTTTAGAAACTTGTTGTTCCGTATTCTTCATTATAGTGCTTTTTATTATTTTAGTTGACTGAATATGAAAACCCTTCTTGAAATCACATCAGGTGCAGAGACCTCACAGACATGGACGTTAGAATTGTCCTTCAGAGAGCTACGTTTTACTATTTCATTTTCAGTTTTAATTCAAGTTGAATGAGGACTTCTACTTTTTGTCTTTTTTACCACACAAGTATCTCTCTAATTGTGGACACATGATCACATGTTCTTTTATATTTTTCAAAACAAAACACTCTTACTTTAGTCACTTTACACAACAAAACATTATGTGATGTTCTTCAGGTTCATCATGAACATGTACATGATCTTCTTTTTGTGTGTTTTGTGTTATCAACATTGGTGCATTTAATTCAGCCTTGTGGTACAGTATAGTGATCCACTTGTAAACTTTGCCCCCACAGGTTTGAGCAAAAGAGACGCCTCCTATAATAAGTCTTGCCTTTTCAAGTGTTTAAAACAAGAATGTAAATTTTACTGTACTGCTATCAAATACTTTAGTTCATTAACCTTTTAAATTAGACGATCCAATCCCTCTGTGATATTCTGTTGGTCCTTCATTCAGATCTAAGGTTAGTCAAGGATAAGTCAGTCAGCGTTTATTTTATGAATGACACAAAGACAATGAATGAGAAACCTCAACTAACGTTATATGAAAAAAATATCCAAAGGACGATAGCATTAATAATAGGGAATCATTACCAGCTGTTATACAAATAGTATAATAAAGGATATTACCGGATCATCAATATTACATAATGTGCATTGTTCCTGTCCAACATTTGGCTGTGTACTTCAAAACGGAGCCGTGTTGTATAATGCCGTCCTTGTTGTTGTAATGCGAGCTGCACGGTGGCTCTTTATTTGCAGGCAGTGACTTTATTAGAGTCTATGGTTACAGACCCTTGGAAGGAGGGCTATTGTATTCTCACCCCTTCTTTGGCAAACACACCTGTGCTGCTTCTCTTCCTGTGCACACTCTTCAAAACAAACAGGCCTGCTGGACTGTGTAGAGTTTGGATAGAAAGCAGGACTTATCTTCACTTTTTGTTTTTATTTTGGTTCAAATACGCTGATGTAGTTGCTCAAATTTGGCCAACAAAATCTTACAAATGCATCGCGTTAGATGCTTATTCCTATCCTATTTATTTTAAAGTTAGCAGAATTATCCCAAATTTTCTCGCTAGTTTCCCCCTCTCCTTCTCTCTCTCTCTCTCTCTCTCTCTCTCTCTCTCACACACACACACTCACACACACACACACATCCACACATATACCTACTCAGCAACATGGATCGGCAGCAGCTGACTTGGCTAGAAACTCTGTGGCACAGGTAGACAGAAGCAGGGTCCAGCGGGTGTCTACTGAGGCTGTAGACACATCTGCCTGCTTGATTTCACCTGGTAACTGAGCATGTAGTATTTACTTCTCGGCTGAAATGCAATCAGGGCTGCTAGCTGGCAAGGCAGCAATGAGCCTACGATTAGGTGCAGTCCCCCCCCCCCCCCTACTGTGAGAAAGTGAGGAAAAGTTTGAAATCGAGAAACTGCTGAAAATTGTATTGTTATAGTTTGGATACACATTTCAAACTGCATTTGTTTTTACATTTATAAACTTCCAAAAGATGTAAAAAATATATATATATATATATATATATATATATATATATATATATATATATATATTATTATCCTTTAAAATCAGGTTTACTTTTCAACCTCGTGTGACATTTTTCAATTCCCCTCCTCCAACAATAATTTGGAGTAGTTTTTGAGGGTCGAAAGGTCAAACAGATTTGCATGGCAAGTTCTCCATTATTTCATTTGACACCATTTCCCTCTAGTGATTAAGCGCAGTGATTAAAAAATCACTTAGTAACATATCTAAAGCAGCTTCACACAATATAATAAAAGTGTAATGAAATGCACTCTAATGAGCTCGTCCACTGCTGACGACCAGAGTCTCGTGAATTCCTGATGATAAACGTAATAGTGACACTGCTGAGGTTTCTATACGGTAGAGTGCTCCTCTGT